ACCATTTTTTATAAATTAATCATAGATATAAAACCCACATCAGTTGGCTCTACTCATTAATCACCAATTTGTTAATGACTCTAACATGACCTTTTCTATATTTGTGCTGGCGGCAACCCAACAAAAAACACACAGGAATCCAAAAAGACTTTAGTTGTTACTTACAGGGCAAACAAAAAATAAATAAAAAAAGACTTTAAGTTGTCGACGTACGTGGCTTTTCTACACGACGCGTAAGCCCTAAGAAAACTGTAACCACCCAGAGGGACAGTAGGCACCCACGCTCTAGTGTTCCATGTCCGACACCATACGCGTGTTTTGGCATATCTATTCTTTGGAATACTCGGATTTAAACACGTGTCATTTTTCAAAGTCATCACAATTCAGTAGGTGGGGTGGGCCCGGTGGGGTCCCCGCAAGTCACATGTTCTCTCAATAAACCACAAAATTTTCCTTCTTTTGAAAAACAGACATAAACAAGCTCTTCTAATTTGGTTTTTTTTAAACCCAAATGTCCAATTATTGCGCCAAACATTTACGTTTTATGACCATAATTTTATTAGTTACCAATCAAAGTAAGTCCTACTTTTATATATTATGTACAAAGACTGTCACAATATTCGAAACTCTAAATTTAGTTAGAGTCATGTTATTGTTGCTTTCGGGAGGAAAAATATCCGAATAAATACAAATAAAAATGTTGGCGTAATATTATAATGTAAGATTTCGTATATTTAATCTTACATAAATTTATTAATGAAAAAGAGTCTTGCGTGCTAGACTGATCTTTTTTAAGTATGCAACATATAATATTTGAAGTGATACACTAAATCATGTGTAGTCAAATTGATATTATATAGATATATAAGTTCGTTTCTAACTATTTGTAATAAGTGTTGGCAGTTCGACCCTGTTATGAATCATAGACTTGGTAACTTTCTATTAGTTTTCTGACCCATTCACGGATCATATAAAAGTGACGAATTTAGATGGGGACATTACGTGGTAGTATAGCTTATTGAGCTGTGGGCTGTTCATTGATTATATAGAACAAATTCTTACTTTACTCCCACGAATTAGAATTTTGTTTCCCAATCACATGGACTGTCAATTGACACCACACCTAGTGTTGATTTATGGTCGACACATGAAGAATGGAATCAGAAAAAGCAACCCATTGAACAAGTACTTGGAAGAGGTGCATGCACCCATTATAATATATATAGTAATCATGATAATTTAGGTTGTATCATTTGAATAAACACTTGAATGGTAAAGTGAACCATCTTCTATCTCATTTCAAAGAAAATGTGCAGAAGAAAAGAAAAATCAACGGACGAATTCCAATTGAATGGGATATGAGAACTGAAAAGCAGAAAATATCTGTGCATGATTAGACCATTCAATGATTTTAAGTGTCATTTGATGAGTCCTGACCCAGCTGTGTGGGTCCAATCCATGGAGTAAGCCTAAACCAGCTAAAAGGTAGGTTAAGTACAACTCATGAATTCAGTCCAATCTAAAGGTCAAAGAGTTCAGGAATATTGGCAAACGTGGAGAGTAATTACTGGGATAGCTACTGTTCTAGATCAAGACTATCTTTAATTGTACTTATTTTAATTGTAGCTATCTTCCTCGAAAAGCTAGTAACCTATCCATCACGCCACTGCCTTAACCAAGACTCTGTGCCTATAAATTGTAAGCCCTCTACACAAGAGGGACACAAATCTCTCAGAGCATCTCTCTACACACCCTTTACACGACTATCTTTCTGATAGCTACCCAACATCTCCTTGAGCCAAGCAAACTCAAAGTAGAGGAGGACAATGTTAATTGTGCATCATCTGAAACCAATTGGATGACCCCTATCTGAGCCTGCTTAGAAGAAGACACTCTCCCAGAGAATCCAGTGGAAGCCAAAAAATTAAGAAATAGAGCATCTAGGTATGTTATCATGCGTGACACTCTCTACAAAAAAAGCTACACACTTCCCCAACTTCGCTGCCTCTCCCCCGAGGAAACCGATTATGCCATGAGAGAAATCCATGAGGGGATATATGGAAACCACTTAGGAGGGCGGGCACTAGCTCACAAGGTAGTATGGCAAGGCTATTACTAGCCTAGCATAATCAGAGATGCCCGTGAGTTTTTACGAAAGTTTGACAAGTGCCAGTCCTTTGCACCAGTGTCGAGATAGCCACCATAAAAGCTCACCACCATCTTGAGCCCATGACCCTTCTTCATGTGGGGTATCGACATCCTTGGTCCCCTACCCATGAGTTGGGGCAAATGCAAATTTGTGGTAGTAGCCATTGACTACTTCATAAAGTGGGCAAAAGTTGAGTCCTTAGCCAGGATAACAGACCAGAAGGTGAAAGACTTCATCTAGAGGAGCATAGTTTGCCGTTTCGGAGTACCTCATGCTATAATAAGTGATAATGCCAAATATTTTGACAACAAACTCCTTAATAGCTTCTGCCCTGACCTACAGATCAAGCAACCCTACTTTAGCCCAACCCATCCACAAGCGAACGGGCAGACAGAGGTCACTGTCAGAACCATCCTCCTCAACCCGAAGACCAGATTGGAGAGTGTCAGGGTGCGATGGGTGGACGAACTCCCAAGAGTACAACTCCAAGAAGCCCTACAGGAGAGACCCCTTTCTCCTTAGCCTATGGGACAGAGGCAGTCATATCGGTCGAAATTGGGGAACACTCCCTTAGGGTTCAACACCATGAATCTACCACTAACGAAGAAGGCCTCCACATCAACTTCGACTTGGTAGAGGAGAAGAGGGAGATGACTATGCTAAGGAATGTGGAGTATAAGCGTTACATGACCAAATACTACAACTCGAGGATGAAGTGTCATTCTTTCTTGACTGGGGACCTTTCCACAGACTCTCGGGAAGGGAAGTTAAGGCCTAACTGGGAAGAACCCTTCATGGTTATAGAAGTTGTAAGACCAGAACCTATAGAATTCAAAACTTTAAGGAGAAATCCCTAGCCCATTCATGGAAGGCAGAACACTTGAAGAGGTATTACCAATACTTCAAATTATGAAATAAAATTTGCAAGATTGCCTTTTTCAAAAGTTGTATCTCATTCCGTAGAAGTTCATAAATCACTTACAAAAGTAGAACATGACCTAGCAACAAAAAAAAAGAAGATAAAAGTGTTACACTCCTACATCACTCACTGCTCCCTGATCCACTCTCATCAAAGCTCTCCTCATCACCATCACTCCCTAGTGCCTCAAAAGGGATGAAGCTAGAAAAGTCAAAGGCAGGAAAGGCTACTACGACCGTCTTCTTAAGTTCCTCATAACCATTGATAAAGGCACCTGCAACGGCCCTCTCAGCAGCCTCCCTCATCTTCTCCATCTCAGTGGTGTGAGCCATTGCCCTGGTAGCTCTCTCAAGAGTTGTTTGTAGGTCAGCCTCTGCCACAATAGCCCTCTTCTAAACTGTCCATAGCTTGGCCTCAGCTTAGCGGTCCTCTCACGGGACGCCAAATGCTCGACCTCAAGAGGTACGACTCTCTCATGAGCTAGCCTCAACTGCTCCTTGGCAGCCTTCCGTCCATGCCTCTTATCTCCTAAAGCTATTGATGTCTCTCCAAACTTGACCGACCTTGAGACAAGGCAGGGGAAAGCAGCAGCCACCTATAAGCATTCAAAAAATAGAACATGATGGAAAAGAAGTGGGTACAAGTTAAGTAAAAGGCATGCCATAGCAAACCCATCCATTGCAGTGTTGATGATGCCCTCTAGACCACGAGAGCCAACCTCTATAATATTGACGGCAGTCGCAAAACCCCAAAGTCGCTCTTTGGCCAAATTCACATCCTGCAGCATGGATACCAAACCATTACTAGAAACAAAACAAGAACATGAAACTCCAGTCTTGACAGAAGACCACACTTGAGTCTCAACCCCACTACTGTGCTAGGATTGGTTTTGGAATGTGAAGGAGTCGTAGCCAGGAAAGGAGTAGGGGCACCACCAGGTCTCACCTCCCGGGAAGCAACTTGGCCATCGGACCTTAGCTGAGAAGCACTGGGGGCATCAAACTTTGCGCTCTTAGAATGAGGGGAAGATGCCACCCTGAAAGCATAAAAAGCCTCCATGATTGCTCTATAAATAGTGGGACATGTGGAACTGGTGTAAGAAGAAGAATCTACATAATTATAATCATTGAAGTTTATTGAAAATATCAAATACCTTTCCTCTTCTGCCTAGGGGAGGCTCTAGAATGACCTGCTGCGGACTTGATGACCAAAAACTCTTTGAAAGGATGATCTGGAGCCTACTCTCATGCTCTGTAGATAATGTGCGTGGAGTTGCAAAGGAACCAAGCACACAATAAGTACAGATACATAACAGTTAGATGTAAAAGCAAAGGTAAAACTCCTACCTAACTTGGTTCTCAGAATAGTGTGCCACGTTGAAGGCACAAAATCACGATCTTCCTTAGCGGTTCACTCACCTCCAATGAAGAAGAACCTAGGCTTCCAACTATGGAAATTCGAGGGTAGTCTAGTAATGAACTTGCTCGACCTCAGGGCAAAGTGATACCACCCTTGATAAGGAGCAGGGTTATCCAAAACTACATACGAGGCCAAAAACTCCTCAAAAGGAAGGGGGATGTTAGCACGATTGACAAACAACCATAATGAGAAGAATGCCAAAATCACCATCCAACAATTGGGAGTCAACCTCCTGGAGTCAGTTATAGGTGTCACAGAATCTGACAGATGGGTCTAGGTATGGGAAACCTCAACCTCGCCTCCAAGACGTCCTCGTAAAAGACTATATTTCTTGAGGAGTTATAACACGCTAACTCGCCTCCCTCAGCTCGATGACATAGGACAACAAGAGGAATACGGAATGAGGAAACAATGCGGGTGATATCATCATCGCAATCTACAGAACTAAAGATAGAAGGTACCTTGGAGCCCTCAATACTGGCATCTCCTTCCCCTTGTTTTACCATGCCTCTGTTAAGGTAGGTGCCTGCCAAAATCAGGGTCAGCACCAGAAAGGAAAAATACATATATAAATATTAAGTAAAGATTGGAGGAAGGATCACTATCACTCGGGCTGCGCTCGTCGTCGACTGGTGTATCATTGGAGCTGTTTAGTGCCCTTTGGCCATCGCTCACATTCCTGGTGATGCCTAGTCTACTTCGGTCACCACCCAACAAATTTCGTCCCCTCGACCTACTCTTGGCATCATCCAGTGACTGGATCTGCCCAATGGCTTCGCCCGCTCTAGCCGTTGCCCTGCTCTCGTCCATTTTGTGTTAGCTATCGATGTTGCCCAAGCTCTCCATAATGTTTCTTGAGGAACAAGAAGTGGCGTTGCCTATGGAGCCAGGAGCGCTGCCCCAGAAGCCAACTGAGGCGCTGCTCGGGAAGCCCAGACCTCTGTTTGCTTCAGCTTTGCCCAGATTTCCCTTCTCTGTTACACCCACCGTAATCCCAGCATCACCCAGAATGTTGGCTCCACCTAGCAGCATCACCCAGTGTTTGGGACGACCTACTGGCATCGCCAAAAGCCTCCAGGTCCTCACTGTTTGACTGAAGCCAAACGTTGCCCAGTGCGCTGGCACCGCCCAACACCTTGTTGGTGTCGTTCAGTGTTTGGGATAGCCTACAAATGTCTCCAATATACTATAGTTCAGGACCTACACCCTTGGTGTCATCTCTTGCTACTCTTCTGGTTTGGGTCACATCTATCCTCTCATTCGATGGGTTTTTCCCTGGAACACCAACCATGGAATTCTTTTCCCTCAATCTCTCTCAACCGTCAAAGGAATAACTGTAACTCTCAAGGAAAAGAAAGGAAAAAGGGGACCCTATGGATTTTTCCCTCTTGAAGCCCTAGAAAATGTGCCCTAGGCGGAGGAAAGATGGTTTTTTTACATATGAAAGGGATAAAGTCTCTTCTAGAGTGGTGATAGCATAATGGGTGCTCGGCTGAAATGAAAAAGTAAGCTCCCATGGTGCGAACAGAGCAGGAAGCTGAGGAGCTTACCACTGTGTAGAATAAGATACCTTTTCCCTATTGAGATTAAGGACTCATTCATGCCCTCAACCCCCTTTATTGTGGCTGGGGCTTGGGACATGATGAGCCCTAACCCTTATTGAGTGGGCCCAATGGAGTAAGCCCAAATTAGCTAAAAGGTAGGTCAAGCCCAGCTCATGAATTCGGCCTAGTCCAAAGTTCAAGGAGTACAGAAATACTGGCACACGTAGGGAGTAATTATCAGGATAACCACTATTCTCGATCAACACTACCTCTAATTGTACCTGTCCTAGTTGTAGTTATCCTCCTCGAATAGGTAGTAAACTACCCATAATGCCACCGCCTCAACCAAGACTATGTGCCTATAAATTGTAAGCCCTCTACACAAGAGAGACACACATCTCTTTACACACCCTTTATATGGCTATCTCCCTGATAGNGTAGGTGCCTGCCAAAATCAGGGTCAGCACCAGAAAGGAAAAATACATATATAAATATTAAGTAAAGATTGGAGGAAGGATCACTATCACTCGGGCTGCGCTCGTCGTCGACTGGTGTATCATTGGAGCTGTTTAGTGCCCTTTGGCCATCGCTCACATTCCTGGTGATGCCTAGTCTACTTCGGTCACCACCCAACAAATTTCGTCCCCTCGACCTACTCTTGGCATCATCCAGTGACTGGATCTGCCCAATGGCTTCGCCCGCTCTAGCCGTTGCCCTGCTCTCGTCCATTTTGTGTTAGCTATCGATGTTGCCCAAGCTCTCCATAATGTTTCTTGAGGAACAAGAAGTGGCGTTGCCTATGGAGCCAGGAGCGCTGCCCCAGAAGCCAACTGAGGCGCTGCTCGGGAAGCCCAGACCTCTGTTTGCTTCAGCTTTGCCCAGATTTCCCTTCTCTGTTACACCCACCGTAATCCCAGCATCACCCAGAATGTTGGCTCCACCTAGCAGCATCACCCAGTGTTTGGGACGACCTACTGGCATCGCCAAAAGCCTCCAGGTCCTCACTGTTTGACTGAAGCCAAACGTTGCCCAGTGCGCTGGCACCGCCCAACACCTTGTTGGTGTCGTTCAGTGTTTGGGATAGCCTACAAATGTCTCCAATATACTATAGTTCAGGACCTACACCCTTGGTGTCATCTCTTGCTACTCTTCTGGTTTGGGTCACATCTATCCTCTCATTCGATGGGTTTTTCCCTGGAACACCAACCATGGAATTCTTTTCCCTCAATCTCTCTCAACCGTCAAAGGAATAACTGTAACTCTCAAGGAAAAGAAAGGAAAAAGGGGACCCTATGGATTTTTCCCTCTTGAAGCCCTAGAAAATGTGCCCTAGGCGGAGGAAAGATGGTTTTTTTACATATGAAAGGGATAAAGTCTCTTCTAGAGTGGTGATAGCATAATGGGTGCTCGGCTGAAATGAAAAAGTAAGCTCCCATGGTGCGAACAGAGCAGGAAGCTGAGGAGCTTACCACTGTGTAGAATAAGATACCTTTTCCCTATTGAGATTAAGGACTCATTCATGCCCTCAACCCCCTTTATTGTGGCTGGGGCTTGGGACATGATGAGCCCTAACCCTTATTGAGTGGGCCCAATGGAGTAAGCCCAAATTAGCTAAAAGGTAGGTCAAGCCCAGCTCATGAATTCGGCCTAGTCCAAAGTTCAAGGAGTACAGAAATACTGGCACACGTAGGGAGTAATTATCAGGATAACCACTATTCTCGATCAACACTACCTCTAATTGTACCTGTCCTAGTTGTAGTTATCCTCCTCGAATAGGTAGTAAACTACCCATAATGCCACCGCCTCAACCAAGACTATGTGCCTATAAATTGTAAGCCCTCTACACAAGAGAGACACACATCTCTTTACACACCCTTTATATGGCTATCTCCCTGATAGCTACCCAACCTTTCCTAGAGCTTACCTTTGCTCTCTCTCTCTCTCTCTCTCTCTCTCACACACACACACACACACTTTTTTCTTTATTAATAAAGTTCTCTGGTCACCATTGTTGCCTTCAGTGGTTTGGTCACCTCAGTGTAAACACCTATTCTTTGCCTTATGTTATTAATTACTTAATTGATTGTTTCATTAATTTTCTTGAATTATACCTTTGACTGTTGATTGTGCATAAATCCACTTTTGTACATCATCAGTATTGATCTGTGATGAAGAAAAACATGTGACAATGAATACATGGCTATAATGCACACGTGGAAAAGATAGGCTTTAATAGACAAAGTGCCTCTGTTAGAATAGCTGTTCAGTTGATTGATCCGTGTGCCAACCTACCTAATAAATTTAAACTGAGTCGAACAAGCGTAAAATTGTTTAGTTTGCAAGGATGTCGAGCAATAAGCTGAACCCATTAAGGATGAAATAACCACGAAGATTGGCTCCTCTAAAGATAGAACTGAACCAAAGATAGCTTGGCTATTTCAAAAAATTAGAGGCGGTTAAGAACCGATAAGGAAGTTGCCTACGTTATAAGTAACCATAATAAAGGTGACCTAAATAGTAGACGAGCCAGAAAGGAATTCTAAGGAGGCAACAATGCAAATTATGAGGGATTCAGCTAAATTGAAGGTGTGTCACCTTGCACGACCAATAGTAAAACCCTAGAAGAGGATATAAACCACTATAAAGATCAGGAGAAGCTCAAGTTTAAGGTACGCATTCTTTTTGTTACAATTCTTTCGCTAATTCTCAGAATCCCTACTGAATTAAGCGTCAGAGTGCCTCCGATCAGTTAAACTCCTGTCTCTGATAGTTTGTTCATTTTACAGGGAAAGGGAACTGTTGTTCTCTTTCATAGGAATTGTTCTTTAGATTCCACATCACCCTAAACTAGAGGTACAAGATATTTTGTAGTACAATTGGTCCCGTCTGTGGAAAATCAAACAAAAAGTGATGTCAAATCTATGAAGTATGCTAGGCTCACCACACAACAATCAAGAGTTCAATGTGTTTGACCTAGCACACAATTATCGAGTGTCCCTATGCTCAAATAGTGACATCAGGGAGGACACTGCCCAAAGCTTGAATAACGGTCAAGAATATCCCGATAATGTGTCATCAAAAAGATATTGCCCTCGTGATGGCGTTTGACAGGGTGAAACATACTAGGAAGCCTTTCCACGTACCAATGGGTAAGCTTCCACCTTCAAAAAGATGATTCAATCCCTCTAGGACCGATTAGATTCCAATGACACTATGTTAAGGAGATCCTAGGAGGAGGAGGAGAAACTTAAGCAAGAGAATGAGGCTTTGAAGGAAACCTTGAGAAGGTAGAGGGACCGAGAAGTCACTGAAGAATTTGATTGCCAAACTACAAGAATTAAAGGCAAACCTTCCCATGCCAAGCATAGCCCTAGCCCTAACAGGCACATGAGGAATTGGAGAGACAATACTTGAGACAAAAAACTAGAAGAAAATCTACATGAGTATAGGACCAAGAAGATGCCTAGTGGTGTTTTATAACTAAGGAATTAGATAATAGGTTAAAGCACTTTGAACAAAAATCGGCCAAATAGTTGGCAAGGAAAGCTACTAGAGTTGTCCCCTTTCACAAGGTGGATAGAAAAGGAGAAAATCCCGAGCCAATTTGTGGTGTAGAGCTTCAAGCTCTATAATGGAAAAACTAATCTGACGGCCCATATACGTCACTATAGGCAAACACACGGCGATCCAAGGAAGAATGAAGCTTTGATGTGCACAATGATTTTGAGCAAACTAGATGCCCCTTTCCTTGTTTTCTCTCCTTTAAAGGCCCTCCTTCAACATCTAGCATAGCTTCACTTGAAACTCCCCGCCACACGGTTCATGTCGGCTTTGGGCAATCATAAGCATGCCAATTATTACTAATATGCACACACCAATCGATTTTGTTTTAGACCATCAAGATTTTCAATACAAAGTTATGAGGTTGGGTAGAATCTTTAGTTTAGGTTTAGGGATCGAGGTTAGCGGTGGAAGCTCTCAAGGTAGAAGATATGTTATATCTCTTAGAAATCTCACATGAGGCTTAACCTAACTGTGGAAAAGACTCTCCCTATTTATAGGTCTGGAATAAGGATAGTCTTAATAAATAAGAAAATCCAAATTTGCGAATGACCACTCAATTTGTCGGAGGGAAGTCATAGGATTGTTGGCATTGGAATGAAAATTACGTCTCAGACCTTTCTAGGAGTCAACACTTGAGCGAGGTCATGAGCATTGCTTGAGCGACCTTGAGGGATTGCTTGGGCGAGCTCATAGAGCAAGCTCTGTGCATTCCTATATGGCCTTCCCATCTAATTCCCTAGGTCCTAAAGAGACTACTCTAGCCAAGGCTAATGAGTATAGATCGGTCCCTACTAGTTCTTGAAGCACAAAACCAATAAAAAACTTGTCTTCTTGAGCACTAAAGGGTGTTGCTCAAGAGTGGTCTGATAATGACTCAATCTATATTGTCAAACAAAAATGGTTTAGAAAAACTTTTCTTTTCAAAACACCTAGGAGCCATACTCAGATTTCTTCTAATTTCATTAGCTTTATCATAAGCATGAAAATGCATACAGAGGTTGGATGATGTTGTTTTGACACTTGATCTCCTCCCTTCAATGGTGCTTTCGGATCTTCAACTTGATAGGATCTAGACCATGGAAAAGGTTAAGATTTATAATGGACTCCACAAAATTATCCAATTACATAATGTGATCTAACAATCTCCTCCTTTGGTAAATACACAAGTTAGAAATTAAGATTACAACCCACAAACCACTGAACAAAACAAAATTATAAATCTAATCTCAACATTACGTACATGTCCTAAATCTCTATATAAGTACAAGATACATTTTTTAGATGCTTTTTTAAGATCCTGGACATTACCACTCAAACCAAAACCTCATGAAAAATATCATATGTTAGAGAAATATATAACATAATCACAGGTTTGGAAAACACCAAGCATAGGGCATAAGCATGTATACATCATGCAAGTGCAAATATGTCCCATGTTAGGAACTAACTTGCCCAATATGCTTGCAAATCTATTGATGTATCAATATGAAACATTTCAAGTTTTCCCCTTTAGTTGGTGTTCAAAAGTATAATAACAAGTGTAAAATAAACTAATGTAAAATAGGTGACTCCATGCTAAATTTATGAATTTATTTCCCATGAGTATTTGAACTAACTCCCCCTTTCTATTTTCACATGCAATATATCTAGCCTAGTCAAGAGTAAATCCCTCTGATTCCTCTCACATGTACCTAAAATATTAAGCATAGGGCATAAGCATGTATACATCATGCATGTGCAAATATGTCCCATGTTAGGAATTAACTTGCCCAATATGCTTGAGAACCTATTGATCTATCAATATGAAACGTTTCAAGTTCTCCCCTTTAATTGGTGTTCACAAGTAAAATAACAAGTGTAAAATAGGTGACTTCATGCCAAGTTTACAAATTTACTCCCCCTGAGTATTTGAACTAACTTCCCCTTTTTATTTTCACATGCAATATATCTAACCTAGTCAAGAGTAAATCTCCCCGATTTCTCTCATATGTACATAAAATATTCTCCCCCTTCTTATTTCAAATGCCAACCCAATGACAACATGCAGCAAGCATGGTAAAGAATCCAGTTACCCAACATATTCTTACCTTATTTTCTATAAATGGCAATCCAATGACAACATATTATAATCATGACATAGAATTATAGTATAAAAAGAAGGTATGAATTCATATCAATTAAAAAAATCATGGAAGTAAAATAAGAAAGGGACAAAAAAGGGACATAACTCAGAGTCACGTATGATGAGAACTTCAAGATTATGACTAAGAGTGTGTCACAATAACAAAAATATAACTTAACACATAAAAGTCAACAAAAAGTAAAAGTCAATAGTAGCAAAAATAGAATACTTTAGTACAAGCCATGAATGAATCAAACACTCAAATATTCCATATGATCTAGACTAAAAATCTCTAAAGAACAACTCAAATGGATGTATCAAACTCCGCCATACTCATAGCATGTAATAGGTGATTAACTTCTGAAAGTGACATTTCATTACCCATTAAAAGGTTAATTGCTTGCATTTTATAGTTAGTTGGTTGTAAATTAGATTATTTAAATTAGTATAGGGTAGATTTGGGCACTAACATGGCAAAAATACAATTTGACAAAGTTTAGGAGCGAAAAAGGAATTGGAAAGGTGGATTGAAATGAAAGAGGAAAAAATAAAAAGAAAGAGGCATCCGAATGCCATCCACCACAGTCCAGATGCCCATAACCTCCTCAAGGTTCCTAAACAAAAAGCCACAAAAAATGAAGGTTGAC